TCCCTCCCTCCCTCCTTCCAGTCCTTCCTTCCACCACCACCCCATGCCTGCCGATCTGACTGAGCAGACCCTCCGTTGGAGAAAGAGCCTCACATATAAGACACCAATTGAAAGAATATCAAGGCCAAGGCGCAGGCTTGCAGCTGGCTGGCTTCCCGCACGGAAACCAGGTGGCCCCGAGCTACAGGGCTGGGTGACCCTGCTGGGGGACTGGGGGACGGAGAGCTGGTCTCCACATTCTGGGCTGTAGGCTTGGCACCCCACCTCCCAGCCACGTGGTGAGTCATGGAAGTCCCTGTGCCTCGGTGTCTTTGTCTGCAAGGTGGGGATGGCCCTGGCCCACCTCCACTCCAGGGCTGGGCGCTCCGGGCCCGGCACGGGAGGGCCGGTGAGATGATCCCAGATGGGGATCTTGGGGCTCCTGTTTCCTGCTGGTTGCAGAATGGGTCGTTGCAACAAGTGAGCTCCAGGCAGGCGTTGGAGGAGCCAGCACCGCCTGGCGACATGCCACCAGGCCCTATGGCCGACTCGCAGGCTGCCCCCGGCCTTGCCACCCTCTCCACCTGGCACTGCCCCTCCTGTCTCCCTAGGGCCTTGCTCTGATGAGTGAGCATTCAGTGCCACTTGGAGAAAGCAGCCACACTCCAGTGAACTTGCAGGCTGTTTAAGAAGCAGCCAGAGTCTCCTCATGGAACTCCAAGGAGAAGAACGGGGTTGAGGAGGAGAAGGGAAGAGGCGAAAGAGGGAGAAAGTCAGAAAGGGGCTTCCCGGCTGTTTCCGGGCTCAGACTCCAGCTGCACAATTAAACCAACTGCCTGCAGGGCGACAGCCGGGCGGCTGGAGGCTCGGAGCCGGGTTTCATCCCTCTGACCGGAGAAGGAGAGCATCCGGGAAACATGGCTGGGGTCATTTATTTTAAAATTATTGGTATAAAAATATTGGGCTGGTGACTCACGAGCCGGGTGGGGTGGGGGGTGGGGAACTCAGGGACTCCCCCTCCGCCCGCCGGCCAAGTCTCATTTTTCTTTAAGTTCCTATCCGTTTTCCATTATGACTTCACGTCATAGTAGTCCCTTCATATCGCAAATAAATCTCCAAAATAGTACGGAAACAGTACTGGTGGGTATTAATAGCGCTTGGAAAAACATCCGAAAACCTCCATCCGCAGCTGTGTGTGCGCTGGGAGGAGGCGACTGCCAGGACCTGAAACGGCCCCGGCCCACTTGACGGATGTCGCCCCAGTGGCTGACCGGGGGACCCCTAAGCCTGCGGTCCCCCCAGCTCCACCTCCAGCCCAAGAGAGAACGTCCGACATCCGTCTGTCCATGCCTGCGAGGGCCCTGCAGCATGGACAAAGCCCCTCCTCTCTGGCTCTCGGAATGCAGTGCCAGGGGACAGTCCCCACTGGCATGGGGTCCCTGTCTCCGGTTCCTTGCACGCGCATTGGTCTGGGGAGCCCCACCCACACACTCCCGCGACCCCGACGCCGCTGCAGCCTCGCTCAGTCCCTAGCCCCCCTCCACCCTCCCCTGGCGGCCCCTGATACTCACGGGCTGTGGAGGCTTCGGTGGGGGACAGCCCCTCCAGGGCGATTTGGCCCCCCGGCATGGCGCGGAAGCGGCTCGGCTTCGGTGCGCCCCAAACGCTCCCGGGCAGGAGGCGGCGCAGCTACTCCTGGGGGTCCGCGGCGGATCCCGCGGGCCGGGGTCGCAAACCAGCTCAGTCAGGGACACTGTCCCCTGGCCAGACACGGGACGCGAAGCCGCGCGCGCGCCTAAACCCGACTTGGCCTCGGCGCCCGGCGCGCGCGCTCCTCCCTCGGCTTTTTGGTCTGGGGGTCGGTGCTCCCGCCCAGGGCACCTGCCGACGCCGCCCTCGCCCCGCCCCGCGCGACTCCCCGGGGCGACCCGGCCCGCCGCCAGTGCGGACCGGAGCGGAGCCGCCCCCAGCTCTGTGGCGGTCCGGAGGTGGGGAGGCCGAGTGCTCTGCTCAGCACGACTCCGGAGGACAGTGGGGCCCCGAGGGCGGCGGGGTGCCCCCAGCTGAGGCCCCAAGACTAGAGGGAGACCAGCCCTGAGAGACCAGGGAGCCCCCACCAGGCCTGGACATAAGGGTCCTGGTGCCCACGTCAGGCAGTGCTCTGCCCTGTCCTCCAGGAGGTGGGGACCTAACTTATCACCTTGTAGGTAAGCCCAGGGCTGGTGGGAGGCAGAGCAGGTGTGCACTGGAATCCAGGACCCTGAGACCAGAGACATCAGCCTCCTGTCCTTGCAAAACCGGGGACGGGAGGAACAACAATAACTGCCCCCATCTTGAAAGTCCTGCTGTTTGAAGACTTCTCTTTCTGAAGCTTGGAGAACTTGCCTCCATCCAAGCCCCTTCCGTCTGTGCCCCACATCTGCAGCCAGGGCGCAGGGTGGGCAGGGAGTCCTGTGCCCCAGCCCTGTTCAGTTTAGAAACCTCGTTCTGGAAGATTCCAAGTCCTCCCAGGCAGCGGAGTCGTGGGCATTGCCCTCGGTCAGGAACCACTGTGAAGGTGCCTCCTTGCATATCTGCAAACCCTACCCTGTCATCTCTGGGGAAATGCAGTCAATTCTGAGGCCGACCGACTTTACCCACAACGTTCAGCTGCTCTCTGACCGCAGGAGAGGCTGTTGGCCAGACGCACAGCCAGACTGCCTTTTGGAAAGGTCATCTCACACTGTCTGCACCCCATGGAGGGACTGGGGTCATTTCAGGAACAAATGACCAGCCAGGTCAGCCCCTCACAAGCCACCCACTGCAGCTGGACCCTGATGGGCACGGACCCTGGCTTCCCGGGGGTGGGGGAGCTGGAGCCTGCCCACAGGAAGGAATTCATGTGTCAGAACTCATGGGGGCCAAGCTGTCCTCCTGGTCACCTGCCTAGGTCGCCGGGATTGGACACAGGCACACTGGGGCACGCTCACATCCTTGCAACCTTGAAGCAAAACCACCGCCGGTCTCTGCCAGGTCCTTCCTTCCCCACCTCCACCAAAGAGCTATGTGTGGAAAGGAGACTGAGGTGCTGGGTTTTACCTGAGCCCTGAGATCCTGGTTAAAGGAACCCCCCACCCCTGGTGTGCAGGAAACCTGTCCACTGCAGAGACGTCCCTTCCCACACGGCTCGGGTGGCCTTGTTTCCTGTGACAAGTGCCCGGTCTTTGCCTGGTCAATGAGTAACTGAAGGGCTCGCCCTCACTGACCAATCCAAAACAAGGTGCTTCTTCGCCAAACTCTGGTGAAACGTTCCCTCTCCTCCCCCACTGCCCCTAAGTCCCTGCACTGTGCCTGTCCCCCAGCCTGGGCCAGTGTAACACCAGTGAAACAGACTCCAACTCATGGGATCCCCGGAGGGATTGTAACGGCTGATGTTTTGGAAGTCGATCGCCAGGGCTTTCCTCTGAGACACACCTGTGGGGACTTGAACCCCCAACCTTCCCGCTAGCAATCAATGGCGATCACTTTGCACCACCCAGCACCTCCAGAGCCACCATGCTACCCCTGTTTAAGGGCCCCTCCCAGAGAGCAGGCTGTCCCAGAGCAAAGAGTTCTGGTTTATTCTCTGATGCTGTCACCCGCTCTCCCACCCCCCTACACCTGCGTGTACTCTCGGCAAACGCCCCTAAATCTTGAGGCTTGTGCAGATCTGATGGCTGAAGTGTTCTCCTACTGTTTTGGTCTGCCTCCCCACTGTGGAAATAGCCCCTTTTCCTTTCCTGTCTGAACAACGCCTCTCCCCATCAAAGGCTTTGTGGTTTTTATCGGCAGGATTGAAGCTTCCCTCCTCCCAACATGTCACAGAGAAAGGAGACCTGCCATCTTCCTTAGCAATTACCTCATTTCAGTCTCGACTAAGAAACCAGAGGATGAGGCATCTGGGAGGTTGCTTACTCACTGTGACAGGAGGCTCACCCCATGAAGACTTTGCCAAGGAGCCCAATGTGTGTGCTGTGTACCCTGCATGTCTTTCCACTAGGGCACAGGTCGCTGTGTGAC